AACCGAGAAGATGTGATATCATTTATTCGAAAACAAGAATACCTCCCAAATAAGCACCAATTAGTATCACTGTTAATACCAAAATGTAGTTGCTGTTGGAAAAATATCAATTTTCTAAACAAAACCTTTGACAAACAAAAATTTGCTCACACCGATTCCTCCCTTTTGGCAATTCACAATGTCACTGTGGCCTGTGCCGATCAGGGTACCAAAGTTCTTTTTAAAATGCTGGTGTACTCTATGCCGGTTTATTTTCTGCGCGTCACTGCTTTACTCCTCTCCGAATCGGCCGAATCCTTTGTTGGAGGGGTTCATCTGACGCTTTTCTAACTCCAGAACTTCCTAAATCAGTTATATTTTATTACTTATTAGCAATGAGTTATATTGATTGCTAATTTAAATTAGCAAAAGATTGAACCATATTAGTGATATTTGATTACATTTACTCAGGGACGTAGCCAGGATTTTTCTTTGAGGGGGGCTGTCGGCGAGCGAAGCAAGCCGACGCGTCCAATCAAGCTGTGGCAGGGGTCTGGGGGCGCAGCCCCCAGCGGGGTCCAGGGGCAGAGCCCCTTGGCGGGGGCTAGGGGGGCGCAGCCCCCCGGAAATTTTTTGCGAAACAGGGTGTTTTAGACGACATTTGGCATTAAAGAAATTTGTAGGACAGCAATAAACTGGGATTGAAAAGAATCAAGTACTCACGTAAATTTGGTAACTTCACAACAGCAATCTGCATTCTCCAATCAGAATTTACGACTTACTCAGGCCTCATCGTCTTAAGATTTTTACATTTCCTACGGTCTAGGGGACACTATTGACTATAATTATAGAAGTCTTCTAGAATGTTTGCTTGGATTTAATGACATATATTTACTAATCCACAGTTCAAATCTTTGACTGACTGCAGTCATAAACACAGCCCAGTTACCAGGCGACCATGGGGACTAGGGGGCTTATCTTTTTTCTGGGGTTTGATTTTTTCCGGGGGGGGGGGCTGCCGCCCCCCTAGCCCCCCCCCCTGGCTACGTGCCTGCATTTACTTACACCTGAAGAATTGAAGTAAATTACATTTCCAATATGCGAAAGTTTTCAGCACTTTTTATTAAAATGACTTAAGCTTTTAAATTAATTTTCATTGTCTAAAAGACAATAAAATAGAAACAAAAAATTTTATTATTACCTCTTCTCCTTTTTTGATTTTACCATATGTCTTCCAACCTGTGGAATAAGTATCATCATCATCAGTAATTACAATTTAAAGATAAGGTTCAGGATATCAAAAATGAAATAAATGTTGCACAAAATATAAAAAATGTAATTACTAATTTGTGAACCTTGTTCTCTTTTCTCCACATCAGACTCCTCATCAACCTGAAATAGTAAGATTAGAATCACGTGCCGTGATGAATATAAATAAATTTAAAATAATTACAAAACGCATTTAATTTCAGAAATTCAGTGACTTAATAGTTTAATTTGTTAGTGTTTATAACATAATCATATTGTTTAATTATATTATGGCAATTGTATATGCACCTGAATATCGTTAATCTCATCTTTTAATCTTTTTACCCAGCCTGAAATGATTTGTTTATAAGTTTATAAGAAACCTACTCTTAGCTAAAATCTTTCTTTAACTTTTAAAAAAGATATCATTGATCACTGTCCACAATCCATAAGGCAATTTACTTTAAAAAGCTACTGTCAAATCGCATTTTGCACTAATATAGTTCACTGGATTCAAAATTTGAATTATTGTCCCGTCATAAATGTCGAAAATGGATAAAATTTCCGTTGCTATGGAAAAAGTTGAGATAACTTTTAAAATTTTCTTACAATGCTGCCTCCACAAAAACAGCCGTTATTATTCCACTTCGGACAAAAAATTATAGCACAGGATTCTATTCTTACATACAAATCGAATTCCGGCGATTGTGTTCAAGGTGTGTTTTAATTGCTTCCACCACAAAAATATTTCCATCAAACAATGGAAGTAAATTGGAGCAGTGTTTGTTGTCTCTTCCTCAATCACCATAAGCTTGTTCTACAATGAGGCCTCATTTCTTTCCTCAGAAATACATGAATACTCTTAAACGTATTGAGTACCAAATAGATATGATCTCATGTCAAATCATTGTAGTATGGAGAACATGTTTGCTCACGGTTCTGGAATAGACTTTATGAGCTAGAATTTTTGATTCGGACGGTGCCAGGTTTCCGTGGAAAAATAATCATTGTTAAAGCAATTAATGTTTTGATCTGAGGGTGGGTATCTTCACAAACCACGAATCATTGAAAATGTGCTAGTCATATATTTCTTTAAAAAAATAAATAATGTCTAGGTTTATGGACTATATAATTATATACGTGATCATTAAATTATGTTGGAGATTTGCGTAGGTAACAGCTATAACAAGACATTCAAATGATTAAAAAATGATAAACAGATGTTGAGAAGTAACAATGCGATAATTTAACTCACCCTGATCACGCTCATCTAAAGCCGCATCCGCTCTTATTGCCAGGTAGCATACCAACGTTAAACTGCGGATAATAAAGTTGAATAAATTAATTTTGATGATTGATACTTGCACATCTCCTTGACATCTAAAAATTGAAGAGATTGACAAGATTTTGAAATACGATGATCTCCTACTCCTAGTCAATATGGTTCATGGTTATGATTTTAAAGGTATCGGGTCAAAGAAATTCAAAGTATTTGTAATCCTACCTTAAACCGATCAGTAGAACCTTCATATTGCAGCTTAAAAATTTCTCACAACTCTAAAATAAAGCACAGGGAATGAAGAAACAAAATGGCTTGACCCGATTTATAAAGTGAGAATCTCCTCGGCGTTCACCCAGTATATTGCCAGCCGGGATGGAATGAAAAACACGTGGTGTTGCTCAGAAAAGAAATATTTGATTGCGCCAAAATGTTTTATTGTTCAGGTTCATCAAAAGATTGAGGAGGCGGATAATGATTAACAAAACCGTCTCAGTCAATAGCGGGAGACAGCCCACGTGACGTCACGTGACGCCACGTGACGTCACGTGTCTTAACCTGTCACGTGTCACGTGACTTAACCTGTCACGTGTCACGTGACTTAACCTGACACATGTCACGTGACTTAACCTGTCAATGGCAAGTCACATGACTGAAGTGGGTTCAGTTTGTTCCATGCTGTGGCCATTTCGTGGCGAATAGCCACGAAATTATTTAACAGAAATCAGTATCGCGGCGTGAGACATGGTTCAGCATAGTATGTTGAAATGGCAGCACGAGCTACAATTCGTTGCTACAAGCATGCTAAGCACCTTCGTGTCGTGTTTCTATATAAGCTAAGGTGGGATTTTAAGGTTCACAATAAATATCTTGTTCCAGTTAAGTTTCAATGGTATTACTTTGATGGACAGACAGGTAGAGTCATATGCAACTTTTAAAGCGGGACAACTGTGTACCTCAAACTTCAGTTTGAATTGATTAGACTGCACCATTCCCTTATATCTTCATTCCAAAACCAACAAGTAATAACCAAACGTATACCAGTGATAATGAACGTGATGATAAACAACAAACCATAAATTGTTTATACTTTTACAGAATCTGTAAACTTCAGGATTTTAGTTTTCTGCCATCCACTGTTTAATAAATCTATAACTGTTAACTGGAGATAAATTCCATCCTATCTGTTAAGTTTCAGCCAAGGAAAGCTTATACTTGAAAAAGTATTAGTATTACTGGTAGTGCTTTTGGTGATTTTCCACAAAGCCTTCTCCAGGATTTTGTCTCCTTTTATCTTAGTTGGGTCTCTATTTGCTATTCAGTGAAAGTCGGCAATGATCAGCGGTTGAAATTTAAATCGGGAAAGAGTATGTGATATTGACATATTGACGGTTACCAGGTCCAGCAGACCATTTGAACGGTTTAAACTGGTGGTATTTTAATCTGATGGCATTAAAAAGAAATGTCAGTGCGTTAGAAAAATGCATTCCGCAGTCATTGGCATTTAATTACGGATTATCGTCAATTTCTTGAACATGTTTAGTTTTATTTTGTAATCTTCACTAAATTGAAGTAAATTTGCAGTACATGATTTCAAATAGACATAATAGTTAATATATAAATATATAAACGAAATAAATATAACAGCTTGGTTGGCATGAATTTTGACCGCGATCAAATATTTGATGGTGAAAAATGTAAGCGGCTAAAAATTAAAAATAAAACGCTATTGCAGTAGTTTTCGCCGGTCATATTTGTGTAAAGAATGTATTATATTTATATTAGTATATTGTAACATGTCCGTCATATAAAAAGCCGTCACATAGCGACTGTGTTATTCATATCGTCTTTCTTGAGGATGCAATTATAAACGATCGAGTTCAACTTCAACTCCATATTTAACTCCATATTCAAATATTCTAAATTTATACTTCAAAAGAATTCAACCAAGTTATATATTCACATATTTTCCTGACGACAACCTCGCATTGTCAAATTCCATTTGCACGATCACAGAGCTGAAAATTAATTCCGACACGATCGTCCGGAAAGAAATTGCGCAATACACACCTTCCTTCCTTCTTTGACGTGACTACAGCAAGTCATCAGTAGAATTGAAATTCCTTCCTAAGAATACCCTGCATCATTATGGTTTAATACGTCTGGAATGTCATGACCGAGCCTCCAAATCCCAAGTCACGTGACCAAATCCCATTCACATGATCCATTCCCAGCCTAATCAATACCTACTCAAAACGTCCAATCTTGAGATCAGCTTCCTTTCTTCTCTTTAATTACCCCTTTCAAACCCTCCTTCTCAACATACTATGCACCAGTCACCACATCCCACTCCAGTCACGTGTCATGTGCACTAATTACACGTGTCAAGTGGAGTCACGTGTCACGTGGGTTGTCTCCCGGCATTGACGGAGTGCAGTGTCCGTCTCCCTAATCATTATCCGCCTCCTCAGTCTTTAGATTAACCTGGACAATGAAAAGGTTAGGCGCAATCAAACATTGCTGTCTTTTCTTAGCAACGCCACGTGTTTTTCATTCCATCCCGGCTGGCAATATACTGGGTAAACGCCGAGGAGATTTTCACTTTATAAATCGGGTCGAGCCATTTTGTTTCTTCATTCCCTGTGCTTTATTTTAGAGTTGTGAGAAATTTTTAAGCTGTGATATGAGGGTTCTACTGATTGGTTTAAGGTAATATTAGTATTACAAATATTTTGAATTCCTTTGCGACCCCCGATAACTTTAAAATTAAAAGTCTGACTAGGAGATGTTAAAAAATGACCTGGAGATCATCATAAATTATTTCAAAATCTTATCAATCTTTTTCATTTTAAGATTTCAAGGAACATAGAAATATTCATCATCAAAATTAATCTATTCAACTTTATTAACCGCAGTTTAACGTTGGTGTGCTTCCTGGCAGTGAAAGCTGATGACGATGCGGATGCGGATGCAGCTTTAGATGAGCGTGATCAGGGTGAGTTAAATTATCGCATTGTTACTTCTCTGCATCTGTTTATCATTTTTTAAATCATTTGAATGTCTTGCCTGCAGTTACCCATGCAAATCTTCAATATAGTGTAAAATTTACAGGGAACAAGACGGGAAAAATTAAATTCGTGTTACGGTAAATTTTTAATTGTAGTAGATTAAAGGTTTTAGTTAATTAACGTATGTTGTATGGTTAAGCCATCATAGTAGGAGTCGTACCAATTGAGTTTTGTGAGGGTTTTGCTTTCAAATCTTCCATCATTAACAAGGAATGTACGAATATAATAGGGGGATAAATCATCTGGGGACCAGCATGATCCATGCTCATGCAGCTCACTGAATCAATGCAGTAAGGTAGCATAAGATAAAGCATACCATAAACCTCTGAGGACCTCACAGATTAAGAACAAATCGATTTAGGCACGACAAACCTTTTTTAATTAATTATTAATAGTACATCAGGTGATCTGGTACATACTGGTGCATACTGGTACATACTGGTACATGTACTGGTGACTAAGTTAGAAAATAAAAAACCTGTTCGATAATTCTGCATCAGCGATATAATCAATATTGTACAATGTACAATTGTACGACCGATTAGAAAATAATAGAATTGAAATTCCTAATATGACGAAAATTGAAGCAATTGTAGTATGAACACAGCAGCTATACATACAATTATTACAGTATTTCAACGAGGAAAATATTTCGATTCGAAGAAAAAACTAAAAGGTGCAGGTGGTAAAATGAAAAAGATGCAGGTGGCAAAATTGGCAAAAGGCAGAAAAGGAGAAGTTGAGCTGGTATGATTTGTTTTTCACAGTCAGTAGCAGTCATATTATATAGGCACACAGCATTCAGAAGCAGTCATTATAGGCACACAGCATTCAGAAGCAGTCATTATAGGCACACAGCATTTGAATCATCTTTTGTTCGGACGTTTTTCATCCATTGACCATGAAATATTTGGACGTTTCATATTTTGAACTCTCTTTTGAACAGTCCCTCTCCCTCGTTTCTCAGCAGTAGCACTTTGCACAGCGCAGTCAAAGGAAAAGAAATAATGAAATGTGTCCATGAGTACGGATAAACAGCTAAGTAGACCCTAAGCTGAGCTCATTTCTAGACAGCTTTCTAAAGCACCAGTTTCAGTGGCGTAACGTTGCATGTTGGCACCCCCCCCCCCGTCCAAAAAGCGCCCCCCTCTTGGCGTTACACCACTGGTACCTTGTAAACTCCTCAAAGAAGCATGAGCCCCTTTTCAGCACCAGCAATACCTTGTTGATCTGGGAGGCATAAGATACTTTCCTTTCAGGAGGAGGAGGTATTAGTTGAGCGGGCCGATGAATTTGAAAGTAAGTGAAATTAATGAAAGTTCAAGTTGAATCTATGATTTACATTAGCATAATTAATAATCACTTCGATAATTTGAGTCATACCGGAGTCAGAATTTAGTCATCGCTATCACATGTATGTTAAAATTTACGATCATGTTTAGATTCGATGTCGACTATCGTGGTATATTATGTTATCATGGTATTTTATCATGGTATGTTATCATGGTATGTTATCATGGCATGTTAGCATGGTATGTTATCATGGTATGTTATCATGGTATGTTATCATGGTATGTTAGCATGGTATGTTATCATGGTATGTTATCATGGTATGTTATCATGGTATGTCATGTTAAATGATTGATTTTGTGCATCCAAAACTAAATTTATCCAACATAATTGTAGCAATCATTAGCTGGTCCATATTAAACTCAAAATTTCGTTTAAGAAATATGCGACAAGGGCACTTTCAATGATAATTCGTAGTTTGTAAAGATCACCAGGTCAAAACATTAATTGCTTTAACAATGACTATAAGTTAAATAAATGATTTTCCCACGGAAACCTGGCACCGTCCGAATGAAAAAGTTTAGCTCATAAAGACTATTCCAGAACCGTGGGCAAACCCGTTTTCCCGTGGGATGATATCGATTTGGTACACAATACTTTTAAACGTGTTTATCTTTTCTGAGGAAAGAAATGAGGCCTTATTATTGTAGAACAAGCTCATGGTGATTCAGGAAGAGACAACAAACACTGCTCCAATTAACTTCCATTGTTTTATGGAAATATTTTTGTGGTGGAAGCAATTAAAACACACCCTGAACACAATCATCGGAATTCGATTTGTATGTAAGAATAGAATCCTGTGTAGTAATTTTTTGTTCGAAGAGGAATAAACGGCTGTTTTTTGTGGAGGCAGCCTTGTAAAGTAATTTTAACTGTTTCCACATAGCAACGGAAATTTTATCCAATTTCGACATTTATGACGGGAAAATGATTCAAATTTTGAATCCAGTGAACTACATGATTAGTGCAAAATGCGACCAACCTCCGACCAACCTCCGACCAACCTCCGACCGACCTCCGACCGGCGTTCACCTACCGCCGACCGGCGCCTGACCGACCTCCGATCGACTTCCGACCGACCAGCCTTGTCTGATCTATGACCATGCGGTTTAACAATAGCTTTTTAAGGTAAACTGCCTTATGGATTGTCGACAGTGATCAATAGTATCTTTTTTAAAGTTAAAGTAAGATTTTAGCTAAGAGTAGGTTTCTTATAAACTTATAAACAAATCATTTCAGGCTGGGTAAAAAGATTAGAAGATGAGATTGACAACATTCAGGTACATATTATATAACTACCATAACATAATAATATAATTACTATTAAATAATATTAATATAATTACTATTAAATGTTGAAACAATTACATCACTTGATAGTTCTTTTATTCAAATTTCTGATTGTTTCTGAATAGACTCAGTGATGACAGATTCTAATGGAAATAAATAGCTGAATAACGTATCGACATTTCTACGTCATACTCATATTCTGAAATAGTATTAATTCAATTATAACGATCAATATTCACATTAAAAATTTGACGACGAAATTTATTTCAAACAAAATATATAACCGATACGTTATTCAGCTATTTATTTCCATTAGAATCTGTCATCACTGAGTCTATTCAGAAACAATCAGAAATTTGAATAAAAGAACTATCAAATCATGAGACTCAAAAACACTACACGAATCCACCAAATTACATCACTATATAATATTATAATACAATAATATAATTACTATCTAATGTCTAAACAATTACATCACTATATAATATTATAATATAATAATATAATTACTATTAAATGTCTAATCAATTACATCACTGCATTTCAGAATATTAAATTCAAAATTTATTAATCTGCATCGGACGACAAATATGCATTTGTTGCTTTAATGCGCTTTTTAATTATTTTAAATGGATTTTCGCGGCACCTTTTCTTGATATTTTAATTTCCAACCTCATTATTTCAGGTTGAGGAAGAGTCTGATATTGATACGGAGAAAAGGGAACAAGGTTTTCATATTACACATGTTATATTTCGTGTATCGTTTATTTAAGTTTTGCTATCCTGAAACTTATGTTGAAATTAAACTTACTGATGATAATATTCCACAGGTTGGAAGACATATGGTAAAATCAAAAAAGGAGAAGAGGTAATGACAATATGTTTTGTTTCTATTTTATTGTCTTTTAGACAATGAAAGTAATTTAAGAGCTTAAGTCATTTTAATAAAGAAAGTGTTTACAACTTTTACATTAGAAACGTATTTTGCTTCATTTCTTCTTGATCAAATATCACTGATATGTGTCAATCTGTTGCCAATTAGTAATTAGCAAAATTATTAATTAGCAATCAAATATAACTGATTGCTAATAAGTAATCAAATATAACTAATTTAGGAAGTGCTGGAGTTAGAAAAGCGTCAGATGAACCCCTCCAACAAAGGATTCAACAAATTTGGAAATGGAAAATTCGGAGGCCGATTCGGAAAGTCACGCGCAGGAAACTAAACCGTAAAAGAGTACATGTTCGATTAAGGTTCAGAAAATTAGTATTATTCCACCAGCAACTTCATTTTGGTATTTACAGTGATAATTATTTGTGCTAATTTGGGAGGTTGTATTTTTTCGAATAAATGATGTAAAATATTTTCGGTGAAAGTAACAAGATTTACTAAAAATTATACTTTTATTGAGGTTTTGCTTTTAATGTTTAACAGAAATATATGTATATTATGTGTTATTATAAAGTTATAAACGCTAATTTTGCATTCATACCATTAGTTTTACTACTCCTGATCCAAATTTCGGACAAACTAAAACCCTCTAAACGATCAACGAAAGTAAACCTGTTTCAACAGCTATTATGGTATTTAATAAAGTATCACAAACTTGACCCCTTAGAGAAATTTATCCAACTTTAACTACCACTCCCTAATCTGATTTCTTAGCTTAGACCAGTTGAACTAGCCTATAGCTTGTTGCTTAGTTGGGTGGCTAGCCTATAGCTTGTTGCTTAGTTGGGTGGCTAGCCTATAGCTTGTTGCTTAGTTGGGTGGCTAGCCTATAGCTTGTTGCTTAGTTGGGTGGCTAGCCTATAGCTTGTTGCTTGGTTGGGTGGCTAGCCTACAGCTTGTTGCTTAGTTGGGTGGCTAGCCTATAGCTTGTTGCTTAGTTGGGTGGCTAGCCTATAGCTTGTTGCTTAGTTGGGTGGCTAGCCTATAGCTTGTTGCTTAGTTGGGTGGCTAGCCTATAGCTTGTTGCTTAGTTGGGTGGCTAGCCTATAGCTTGTTGCTTAGTTGGGTGGCTAGCCTATAGCTTGTTGCTTAGTTGGGTGGCTAGCCTATAGCTTGTTGCTTGGTTGGGTGGCTAGCCTACAGCTTGTTGCTTAGTTGGGTGGCTAGCCTATAGCTTGTTGCTTAGTTGGGTGGCTAGCCTATAGCTTGTTGCTTAGTTGGGTGGCTAGCCTATAGCTTGTTGCTTAGTTGGGTGGCTAGCCTATAGCTTATTGCTTAGTTGGGTGGCTAGCCTATAGCTTGTTGCTTAGTTGGGTGGCTAGCCTTTAGCTACCACGCCCTGATCCCTTTTTTCCCTACTTTACTTCAATATAAGGGAACTGTGGTCTAGTTTTAAATTCAAACTGAAGTTTGCAGTAATTGTCACAGTACAAATGGCTTTTTTAAGCTTTTTCTATAAACAATGTTTGCAAACAAAGTTTATCAAGCCCGTGGCAGAGTTTACTAAGTTATAACGTGATAAGGCAATGCGGAAGAGTTAACGTGTGCACACGTTGCCATGGTAATGCGGAAGAGTCTAGCGGTCTCCGACGCAGACTCCGGTCTACTTTTAATACTGCCGGAACATGCAAACCACGCGGTATGTTAGATATGTGCATTAGCAATGGTGCGGTACACAACTCATCAGAAATTATGTCACCAATCTTAATATCTACGGCAAGAAGATATTATGCGGGCGCCAAATATACAGACATTGATCTTGAAAGTTTTAACATTTCATTTCGACGACAAAAGTTAAAATGCTAGCTGTCATGCCATGATGCGCGGTGACTTAATTTGCCAACAGAGTCAGGTTGGTTGTCGAAGTAAAGGTGGCACAGTGTGGGCAGACCCTAAAGGTGGTGTGAAAGTAGTCTGTTGTACTGGGATTATAACACATGGTTTAAAAGTTCAAAGTTTTTAAAAACTAGTTTTAAAATTACCTCTAGATGAGCTTTTGACAATATTTTGTAAATTTCATAACAATTCCCAAAACACAAGAACAGTGTACCTGATATAAACCAAACTAAAATAGGTATACTATGTCTGTTCAATTTTGGACTCCTGGACATATTTACTTTGAACAATCAGTAAAAATTTTGCTGGAACTTCCCTGGTCTGGGATAAGATCAAATTGTTCTGAAGTTCACTATTTCACTAGTTCACTATTTCACTAGTTCACTATTTCACTAGTTCACTATTTCACTAGTTCACTATTTCACTAGTTCACTATTTCACTAGTTCACTATTTCACTAGTTCACTATTTCACTATTTCACTATTTCACTATTTCACTAGTTCACTATTTCACTAGTTCACTATTTCACTAGTTCACTATTTCACTAGTTCACTATTTCACTAGTTCACTATTTCACTAGTTCACTATTTCACTAGTTCACTATTTCACTAGTTCACTATTTCACTATTTCACTATTTCACTAGTTCACTATTTCACTAGTTCACTATTGCACTAGTTCACTATCATTCCTGGAATTATAACACATGGTTTAAAAGTTGTGATTCCACGTTGAGTTACAATCGAATTAGTTGCGTATAACTCTGTCCATCAAAATATTAGCCCTGAAACCATGGCCACATCGAAATTTGAAACGGTCTTGTTTGCTTGCGTGATTCCATAATTTATAACTGGAACGAGGTTATATTTATTGTGAACCGTGAAACCCCACCTTATAAACTTATAGAAACACGACCCGAAAGTGTTGAGCACAACGTTGTAGCACGTAATTGTAGCACGTTGGCATTTGGCACTGGCAGCACATCCGTTATTCGTTTACTGTTAATTATGTGTTATTGTGTCGAAATAATTCCGCTTTTGTCCCGTCATATACTTGTACTTATTAAAACTTTAAAAGGAGTTTCTAATATCAGCCAAATATTCGATTTGCTTTAGCACACGCTTGCACTGTTAATATCAAATTATAATAACCAGTGACATCGCGATACTATTAATAACAATCTAGTAATAGATATCGGCAATCCATATAAAAGAAACTTAATCTTATCTTTTAAATCAAAGCAAAATTACTATCATTAACGATCATCTCTCACTTTAGAGCACAATTCCCACAAAAATCCCACAACCTCTCATCAACCCTCCCTCACACCGACCCCACTTTAATATAATCACATTTAAAAATAACTCCGTAAAATAGCTGCATGCCAGGAGTTGATTACTACGGCAACTACCAATTTATTTTCTGAGAATTATTATATTACCGACCTAATGTGCTCTCTGACTTTAGGGTGAGAGATCCGTTAATATTATTTGTAAAAGCGCTGAAGCAGTGAAGCGCTCTTCAGGCCTATCCTATCACAGTTTGTATTAGGTAATTTTCCTTTATTAACTGGCTTTGTACTTTTTTCCTCGTCTAAGTTAATTTACCTTGCTAATTAACAACCTCAGGAGGGCGTATAAATTACTGTATATAACTATAAACTGGGTATTTTACAGCGGGGAATTTTACAGTGCAGTCATCTGGGCATTGTATTGGTGCTGGATTGTTGCCATAGTTCCATGGTTTTGTGTTTTGTTTGTAGCAGGTGCCGTGTTGAACTAGTGAAATAGTGAACTAGTGAAATAGTGAACTTCAGTACAATTTGATCTTATCTGGCCAGACCAGGGGAGTTCCAGCAATATTTTTACTGGTTGTTCGAAGTAAATATGTCCAGGAGTCCGAAATTGTACAGACATAGAATACCTATTTTAGTTTGGTTTATATCAGGTACACTTGTGTTTTGGGAATTGTTGTGAAATTTACAAAATATTGACGAAAGCTCATCTAGAGGTAATTTTAAAACTAGTTTTTAAAACAATTTTAAATATTAACATTGTTATTGAACTCTGTGTCTGGTATGCAGTATGGAGTTTTTATGCATTTCACTCCTTCGACAGAATATGTTGGTATCCAGGAATGTTTAATTTCGTTATTTCTCGGTATTTTGTAAGTAAAGTTTAAGTACTGAATCGTACGTTTTCATTGTGAATAATTTAAATGCTGATTTTCAGTAGAGAATTCTCTGGCAAAATAAAACAACTCATTAGTTACTATCCAATTATGGACATAAAAACTTGCATAAATTCTTTTAGAGTTTAAGCTGACCAAGTCTAACACAATAGTCATAGTAACCAAATATATAACGCTATTATTTGCACTAATTAGCTTGTATTAGAGACGTATGAAGTACGTATTTGCCCCAGCTTCCCATAGCTGTCATCTAAAGTTTAAACACATTGGATCAAGAGTATTTAAAGAGCAACAAGTGCATGATTATTGATAATTAAGATGCCTGTCAAGAGTTAACACATCTGCTTATATAAGTGCTATAAGTAGGTGCTATATAAGTAAATTGCTATATCCTACCCGTAAATAGGTATAGTGTTAAGTGTACCCCCGATCATAATTTACTATTTTGTTGTTATTTGACTACCAGACATGACCTTAACGATTCATGAAGCATATCCATTATCAAAACACTTTGCTGATTTGTCAAATATTTAAACTATTTGATGTTACTTGCGAAATTCTGTGTATACCGGGCCTTATTTTCCAATTTCTGGTGAACCTTACTTCGTTTCTATGGACATGGCAGTTTACATTCGTTACTTTAGCGTTAACATTGTTTGTGAGACTTCTTTCACAAAGTTTGTAGTTTTCGACTTGAAAATTATTTTCAGTGCCCACAACCAGACAGAAATTGGTGTCTTTTGATGGAGTTTTATATTAACAGGAAGCGATGTAAGTTGTAACAGGGCCAATGTATTTAATGTTGCGATGTGGTGGCAACTCCACGTTCATTGCAGCAGCCTGCTAGTTTCACTGCCTCCTAATATGAATCTCAATTCTCATTATAAGATGATTTATTTCATCTAACTCACAATTTGTCACATGTGACAATCACAGCTCACACGCTTTTGTCAATATTTTTCATGAGACACACATCCTTAAAGGAATTTCAATTTTTTATTGTCTCAACTCTCATGACGAACGATTCTTAGTACCTATAACCAACTGCGCTTTTACTGGGCCGCGCTCAGCCTGTCATTCCGCCAAATCTTTATTCGGTTTATGAACATAATAGCCTGGGGTCCCCAGGTAAACTGCACTTATGACTTATCCCATCACATTCATGAAATAGTTTGAGATTCCACAGGAAACTTGCTTTTAATCCAGACAATATAATTATCACACTAATTTCACCTCACAATTAAAGCTATATTTTCCAGCACTTCCTGCGCTGAAACAGTTCCAAATCCAACAACACAGAAGTGCTGGACAATGGTGGTAATAACTTAATTACTTAATAACTTGATTACTGGTTGTAATTGTCTGGCAGAACTAATATAGTACTATTGCCAGATGATTTAATTTGGTATTTTAGGCAGTCTGTGTATTGTTGGGAGGTTGTTTGCGTAATTCCAGCAAATCCGCAAGATTCCATCCAGCAGTACGCTTCACCCTCTCCGACATGATCGTCATTT